TTGTAAATAAATTTTATTAAAAACAAAGCCATAATATTTAAATTTAATTATTTCCTTGTTATTTGGGTACATTTCTCTGATATCTGTGCTCTTAAAGTTTTTTACATCTCTATATCTGTGTGGTAGACGTGGTACATTAAGGTGTGTATCACTTCCCAACTCAGTACTAAGGGTTTGCTTTTGATAACCTACAAATGGCTTTTAACAAATGCCACAAATCAAGGCCTTATTTGTTTTCCTCAGAGACGAAATTTAATTTTCCTCCACTTTTAACTTTCCTTTCCCCACTCCTACACCTCATCCCTTGGTTAGGAACTTTGGTCTGTATACATATGCCTTTACTTATATTTTTGTATAAGAGAATTCATACAATGTTTGCCTTCTTGTGATTGGCTTAATTTGCACACCATAGCCCCTTCAAATCTTCTTCTGTCATCCTGATTCATTGTGAAGCTCTCAGATGCATAGCAAGTAATTGGAAAAACCATGGCTTTAATCAGATGCACTTTAGTCCTCAAATGGGCATCACTATTCCTCAGTAATTTGGAGAGGTCCCTAACTGCAGACTTTCCCAATGCAATCCGTCTTCTGATTTCCTGACTACTGGTACCAGGTGTTAATTGTGGATCTAAATAAGATGAAGTTATTGACAGTTTCAATCTCTATTCCATCCACCATGATCTTCTCTATTTCTCCAGTGGTAAGAATCTTTGTTTTTTTGACATTGAGACACAATCCACATTGAAGGCTGCATTCTTTGATCTTCTGCAACAAGTGCTTCAAGTCTTCCTCACGTTCATCAAGCAAGGTTGTGGCATCTGCATAACACAGGTTAATTTTGAGTTTCCCTCTGATCCTGATGCCATATTCCTGTTCCTAACATAAAGGTCGATACCTTTAATATTTTCATTTGCAGATAGGGGAGTGGAGACTAGAAAGTATTAAATAACTTACCTAACCCATCAACAAACGAATGGATAGAGAAGCTGTGGTATATTCACACAATGGAATACTACGCTGCATTGAAAAACAAGGAACTCATGCAATATTATTCAAAATGGGTGACCCTGGAGGACGTTATGCTGAGTAAAATATCTCAGTCAGAAAGGTACAAATACTGCATAGTGCCACTGTTGTAAAACAGGACTGACATCGGGTTGGGGTAAGACTGAAAAGAGGGGATAAATGTATACTGCATTGAAACAGATGAGGGAGAAAACTGTTTAAAAGGGATATGTGATTAGGTATTATTGTGATGACAGGGGTCCAGAACGAAGACTGCATGGTGGAGTGGACCTCAGGGGGGAGGGAGGATTGTAAAACAATGGGGGAACTTTTCTTTTTTTTTTTTTCTTTTACTTTTCAAAGAGAAGAGTGTACTGGGGTGGGGGGCAGGGAGAAAAGTGCAACAGTGAATGAATAGAAATCCAAAATCTCTGTAAATTTTCATTAAAATTAATAAAAAAACAAAAATAACTTATCTAAATTATATAGAAGTAGGAAATGGTGTAGTTGAACTTAATGATCAAGGTGAATTTAAAGGAAGTAGTTATTAACTTTTTGTTTTTCATAGATGATCTACTTGATGTCATCCTCCAACTCCTTTGATTTTCAATCATTGGTATTCAATGTCTCAAACCTTAAGATGATTTTTAGATTGAGGTAGGATAGACTCAAGGTTGTATTTTGGTTCTTGTAGGCAGACTTGTTTTCATTTTTGTACGCTTAAATTTGAACTTGTACATGCGTAATTGATGGTCTGTGCCACAATCATCTGGTCTGGTTTTGACTGTTGATATTGAGCAACAATTCTTTCCACAGAAGACACAGTCAATCTGACTCCTGTACTTCATCAGAAAATAAATTATTAAACATACAAATTTCAATCATTCAATCTTCAGCCTCATTTCTGTCACCAAAGCTGTACTTTCCTACCAACATTCCTTCCTCATAGTTTCCAACTTTTGCATTCCAATCACCAATAATTATTAATGCATGTTGATTGCATGTTTGGTCAATTTTGGACTTCAAAAATTGGTCAAAATCTTCAATTTCCTCCTTTTAGCCTTCAGTTGTTGGTGCATGTATTTAAATAATAGTTGCATTATCAGGTCTTCTTTTTCTGCACATGGATAGTATCTTACCACTCACAAAATTATACTTTAGAATTGATCTTTAAATTGTCTTTTTTAACTATGAATGCAACACTGTCCTTCCTCAGTTTTTAATTCTTAGCATAATAGATGGAGGACAAAGGAAAAAAACAAAATGGATATCAGAAGAAATTATGAAACTTGCATTAAAGTGTCAAAAAGCAAGGGATCTCTAGTGGCCTAGTGGCAAGAATATGCTCTGCAATCCCAGAGGCACACAGTTTGAATCCACCAAGTGCTTTGCTGGAGAAGGAGGGGCAGTCTCCTCTTGTGCCAGTGGAATCCAACTCAACAGTACACAACAAGGAAAAAAAAGTGTCAAGAAGCCAAAACAAAGGGAAGAGATGCCAAATTAAAATACTTGAAAAGAAGAATTCAAAGAGCAACTCAAGCAGACAAAGTATTATAGTAGAATTTGCAAAGAGTTGGAGTCAGAGAATAAAAGGCAAAGAACTTGTTTGCCATTTCTCAAGCTGAAAGAATTGAAAATAAATTCAAGCCTCAAGTTGCAATTCTGAGAGATGCTATGGCAAAATCTTAAATTATGTAGGAAGCATCAAAAAAACACAGAATGAATATACAGTGTCACTGTGCCACAAAGAATTGGTTGACACTGAAAAATTTCAGGAAGTATCATATGAACAAAA